GAGTGCGTGAAGGCGCGGGAGCGGCTGGAGCTGTGCGACGCGCGGGTGTCGTCCCGCTCCCAGACGGAGGAGCAGTGCACAGAGGAGCTCTTTGACTTCCTGCACGCCAGGGACCACTGCGTAAGTGCAGCGCCCGTGGGCGCCGCGTCCCCGCCGGCGCTGGCAGCCGAGCTGCCTTTGGCCGCGCTTCCCAGAGCTCAGACGGGGTAGCTGTTCAGTCACAGGGAGCTCTGAAGAACTGTGAGCTGTGATACTTTTTCTTGTTAAACGTTTGCTTCCTGCTTGTTACAGCAGTTCCAGCTGGGATTCGGCAGGTTGTTAAACAGCTGAACAAGTAAAACACATTGTTTTTTCCCTGCAAATGGCACTTTTCTATTTCGGTCTCATATTTGCCGTCTTAAACCTTTTTGAGCCTGAAGTGAAGCTTTGTGAGAAATCTCAGCTTGTTGGTTTTCTTGAATGACTCGCTGCAGAACAATGGCAAGAGCTGTGGAGCTGCGTGTGCTAGCGGCCCCGACAACCGAGAGGCGGGTGGTGAGACGCTGCTGATGTCCAGCCCTGAACTGGACATACTGAATGCTTTGTTTCTCTGCAGGTTGCTCACAAACTCTTTAAGAACCTGAAGTGAAGGCAGGCAAGGTCGTCCGTCCGCTCCTGCAGCCCGTCTCGGCGGGGCCTGGATTTGTGGCCCTGCTGTCCGGCCCCCCATTTTCCCCGCCCCAGAAATGAAACGGCTTCCTGGCAGCGGCCGAGTGTCAGCATCTCACTGCGTCTCTGCTTGCGGAGGATGCGCAGCCATGCAAAAACCATGTTGATGTTCTGTAATTTTCTGTATTAAATATTCAGAGTTCCATGAAAATACCCACCATTTGTGTCCTAGTTCTTGTGCTTCTGGCTTGTTCTGGGTTAACATTAAATTAGTGGGGGTCAGAGCTCAGTTTGGGGAGGGGGCTTCTCCTTGCTTGTGGGAATGTCCTTTTTGTGCAGCCATGATGCACAGCAGCCAGAGCCCACAGGGCAGAACTTGGCTGCTGGAGACACAGAGATTATAGCCGAGCCCCACAAGACTGATGTTCACAGAATAATTCTGGTCGAGAGCCGGCTGAACATGAGCCAGCAGTGTGCCCAGGTGGCCAAGAAGGCCAACGGCATCCTGGCTTGTATCAGGAACAGTGTGGCCAGCAGGAGCAGGGAGGTGATCGTGCCCCTGTACTCAGCACTGGTGAGGCCGCACCTCGAGTCCTGTGTTCAGTTTTAGGCCCCTCACTACCCGAAGGACATTGAGGTGCTGGAGTGTGTCCAGAGAAGGGCAGCGAGGCTGGTGAGGGGTCTGCAGAACAAGTCGGATGAGGAGCAGCTGAGGGAACTGGGGTTGTTCAGTCTGGAGCAGAGAAGGCTGAGGGGGGACCTTATTGCTCTCTACAACTACCTGAAAGGAGGTTGTAGTGAGGTGGATGTTGGTCTCTTCTCCCAGGTAACTAGTGATACGATGCAAGGCAATGGCCTCAGGTTGCATGGCAGGAGATTTAGATTGGCTGTTAGGAAAAATTTCTTTACTGAGAGAGTGGCCAGGCATTGGGACAGGCTGCCCAGGGAGGTGGTGGAGTCCCCATCTCTGGAGGGGTTTAAAACACGCGTGGATGCATGTCAGGAGATTTAGATTGGCTGTTAGGAAAAATTTCTTTACTGAGAGAGTGGCCAGGCATTGGGACAGGCTGCCCAGGGAGGTGGTGGAGTCCCCATCTCTGGAGGGGTTTAAAACACGCGTGGATGTGGCACTTCGGGATACGGCTCAGCAGCCGTGGTCG